GGCATGAGAGGCCTTTCCAAGGAGCCTTGTGGACAGTGTGACCAGGCACTTAGGACTGCATTCCTTCTTGTGAGATGTTCAGAAAGAATCTCAGCTTCCTGTGCGTCTAGGGACTGCGAAGGGACAGACATTCGAAGGCACACCCAGCTGCCTTCCACAGGACTCCCTGGTCTGAGGACAGCCTTTCTTTCTAGACTGGTGTGGAAAGCTGACCACAAATGCCTCTTGGAGCAAAACGAGGGACTCATGGATTGCAGTGGTTCTGGGTGGAGAGGAGGGAGGCCAGGTGGATTGAGACCTGCTTCCTCCCTGGCCCTCGTCAGCCTGCGGTTCTCAAACTGCAGGAACTGGAGGAGCGTGAATTTCACCCTGTTTTCCCACAAGAACACAAGTAGACACACAGTGATGGTGGTCTACCCATGGAGTCTTTTAAAGAGAAGGTAGGCGAGGAAAATGTAAGTGCAGTGACTTGTGACTGCACGGTAGCCTGTCACTGAGGCCATCCTGTGGGTGGCTCCACTGTCCAGATACGCCAGTGCCCAGTACATTGTGGGCTGTGAGCGCCTTCTGCTGACTCCCCGCCTCTCACCAGCACCTCTGCAGCCCGCAGGGAGCTAGAGCGTGAGACCTGTCTGGGGTGCAGCTGGGCAGCATCGCTGAGAGGAGCCACCCTGACCTGGCCACTCAGTCTTGCTGCCTCTGGCTTCTCGTCCTGGAGCTGCGCTCACACTCGGCCTTTCAGGGCTGGTCCTGTCAGGTTGCTCTTTGCCCAGCAGCTGCCCTAGGGTAGGGTGCACGTCTTCAGAACGTTCAGTCTTGCAAACTGTGGGAAGAAGAGCTTTTCTTCTTATGTACTTCATATTAATGTATATGTGTTTTAAAATACACGTTTCAGTAAATCACATGGCCATTAAAAGGACCTTAATGAGCAGTGCCAGAAACTCCAAGTAATTTCTACTCTAAATTCTTAGAACTACATTTTCCTTTTAATGTTTTTAAAAAGCTTTGAAGAATTTGAAGAAATAATCAATGCAAAGGTAATGCGATAAGGGAAGAGGGGTTGTTTATTCAGACTGGCAGGAGAAGCACTGATGACATCGATTGCTGAGCTGTGAAGAAGAGTGTTCTAACAACTGTGACACTCATTCCTTTTACATCTTCAAAATTACACACACTTCCATTTCTGGCCACCTGGCAGATGCTCCATATCCTGGAGAGAAGGCCCTCTGTGGAGCCTCCAGAGATGCTGGGTGAAGTAAGGCCAACAGCTGACATCCAAGCTTGTAAGGGTGTGACCGTGACCCTAGGTCCCAGCCAGCCAACGTGCAGCTGGGCGCCAGAGAGAAGCAGAAGTGAGGAGGTGGGCCAGCAGGTTGGCCAGGGCAGGTCTTCCTGAGACCTGGTGGTTGAAGGAGTCAGGGAAAGATGGAGCATTGAGCTCAGGTCATGGGACAGTGTGGAATCTCCTTCCACCATAGTGCTGAGACCCTCAAAGGACTGTGCTCAGGATGATCCCAGGGACTAGCAACCATCCACCTTTGGCAATGGTGGGTGCTTTTAACTAGCTTGGAGTAATTGCTGGCTGTAACCACAGACCTTTCCTCAAGTGTGCTCGGAGTTCAGACTTAACATGCTTGCCTAGCCACAAGAGTCTCAGGCAGGAAGTACACCTAACACAGCCTTTGATTGACAGCTTCCTAGAGTGCAAGGCAGGACACACACACATGCAGTCTGTGGGGCTGACCTTCCACCTCGGGGCAGGTCACAGGAGTCCAGCAGATAAAGACCACCAAGCGTGAGCTCACGATTCCAGAACCACAGAAACAGGAGCCAGAGCAGGAGGAGGGGAAACCACAGGGAGCAGAACTAGATGGCCTTAAATTTAGATATGACATTTCAGGTGAAGAAAACTGGCAAACGTCTAGAACATTTTAAAATAAATATGAGTTACATGAGTAAAAAGGTCATGTTGTATCTAAAGATTAAATAGAATTGGAAAAGAGACAAGTGAAACCTTTAGAAATGAAAAATATGGTAACAGCATTGAAAAGCTCAAATGGTCCTGTTAAACCACAGGTTATTAACATCTGGGAAGAGAATTGGTCAACTGATTGTGAACGAATGTCATAAAGTGCAACACAAAGACCTGGAAGTGGAAAAGAGGAATCAAGAGACAAAGAATAGAATGAGTCTAGTCTATATCTAAACAGAGGTGTCGGCTTTCATTCAAATTTTCTGCCCTGCTTTTATTTATTTATTTTTTTCTAAGTTTCCCCCATGTATGTTCTTAAATGTTTTAGATCAACCATTTTACCCTGCTCGGGTTCAGAGACTATCAACTCTGTTTCCGTCCTTTGTGTGGCTGTCCTTGGTTTTTCATTCAATAGCAAATGAGAAACAGTTGCTTTTAAATAAAACCAAAATTGATCACTAACAGGTCTTTGTAAGTCAGATACATAAGAAAGCAGAAAAACTAGTAAACAGATGTGTGTGTCGCGAGACCTCACTGAAGACGTAAAACAAGATCATCTCTTGGGCAAGAAGACCTTGGCCTGAGCAGGCCTTTGGGAGTGAGGACACCAGGGGGTGAAGCCTCCTGAGTGGGACCAAGGTCTCTCCTTCCACCAAGCCAGGACAGGCAGTCTGCAGCCCCCAAAGGGTCTCATTGGAACCTAGCCGTCCTAGCAACCTGACCATGGACTTAACCTCCAGAACTGCGAGGAGTCATTTTCTGTTGATTTGAGCACCCATCTGTAGTAATGCAGCCTGAACTAAGACCTGCATTAAAAACGCGGAAATGCATAAATACTGCCGCACACTGACACCTAAGCTAGGGTCATCCTGTACCATGGTATTATTCAGCAGGCAGGAAAGCAGGTAAACTTCAGATAGTGTCAAACATACACAGTAAAAACCAAGGACAACCATGCAAAGGATGGAAACAGAGTTGATAGTCTCTGAACCCATGCAGGATAAAAGGGTTGATCCAAAACATTTAAGAACATACATGGGGGAAACTTAGAAAACAAATAGGATAAAAGCAGGGCAGAAAATTAGTGTTAGAGGTACGCTCATGTATATCGGTAGTCACAAAACATGCCTTCTTAAAACTTTGACCTTTGGATCAAAAAAACTTGGATTGAAAAATTCTTATGCTGCTTGCAAGAGTCACTTCTTATGCGTGAGGATACCAACTGCTGGAAAGGGAAAGAATGTCTGTCCCAGGATCTAGAGGTGAAGAGGGTGATTCCAGACAAAGGTGACTTCAGACACAGGAGGTCCTGCTTTCCATGAGGACAGCACAGACAGCCCTGACCTTGTGAAGGTCCAGCTTAGCAGGGGCACCCAAGTGGCCTGCCTCAGTGGAGACTGTGTTGGGAATTGGACTCGGATCTTCTGGGTTTAGGATTTGCAGTGGGTGGGGGGCTCTCTCAGTGTGGTGCACAGCAGCAGGGAGCCTAGCTCCCAGCAGCCCCCAGGCAGCCACATGGTCACAGGGTACTCTGGGCTAAGCCTAGGTGTTGGTCAAGCTAGGCATGTCAGATGCATGTGCAGTTTGTCAGACCATGGCCCATGATAAGTTGGGGAACAACTGAATTATTAAATTCTGCACACTCACGTACCAAGGACATGTAGCATAAGAAGACACACAAGCACACACTGGAAGTTGGAGTTTAGGATGGCTCATGAACTTTGTAGTGAAATCTGCTGTTCCCAGAAGTGTTGGGGTCCCATCCAACACTCTCCCCTTGGAAAAATGCCCTCACCCACGGTATGCACATGTGCAAGATCATTCACACAACATTGTTTGCAAGAGGGAAATGTGGGAAAGACTTAACTGTCCATCAGTGGAGAGTAAGTGAATTGAGATATAGCCATTGAACGTGATACCACCCTGCATTAAAAATGAGTTGGGGCAATATATTGTTCAGAAAATTAAAGTGAGGACTGGGAGCTCATAAAGATATTTTGAGAAGAAAATGAAATTTGATTCAAAAGTACACACAAAAAATATAGCATGAATTCTTTCTATACTTTAAAAAGGCACAATAATAGGCTATCTTGCTTAGGAACTCATCATACCCAAGTGGTAAAGTACAGAGACAGGCGAATGGTCCACACACCAGGGAGTGGTCCCGTGGCCCTGGAGGGGGAGGTTCTCAGGAAGGGTTGGGGCCCCGACAGCCTACCTGTTTGCTGGTGGGGCACAGGGGTCTGCCTTGCTACTTATATGCTGTTTTATGGTCTGAAAAAACTTATAATAATGTAAATATAATGTGTTAATATAAGAGGAAATGAAAAGCATATATTTATGCTAGCCTCAATTCAAAAAAGTACTTATGACAGCATTTTGAAGGTATAGTTTAAAAAACAAAAACAGTAAGTGTCCTTAAATCTAAACTAACATTTTTACTATGCACTGAGTAGCAACCTGCCAGCCATTTAAAGAGAACAATGTCATTTATTTTAGTTCCAGTTCAGACTGAAAAGGTGATGATATAGTCAAGTTCCCAGGATCAAAGATGGTTAAGGAATTTGGGCATTTCTTTTTTTCTTCCTTTTGAGATATATCTTTTCCTTAAGAATCTGTATTCAACAATTTTTTTAAATACCTCATTTTTAAAAGTAATTTAGGTTAAAAAAAGAATATCTTATTAGGAAAAAAATGTCGGGTAACAGAAATTAGAATACGCGGATTAAAGTTGAGTTGCATCTTTATAAACTTACCAAAATTGGGTTCAGGAACACCTCTGAGCTGGTAGTTCAGCGCCTAGATCGGGGTCTTCGTGCTCTCTGCTCAGGATGCCCTAGGACCCCAGTACATCTTACAGCACCCTAGGCCAAGAGGAGTAGCTGGAGTGAGGCAAAGGGGTTGGATCACAAAGGCCACCCCCAGTCCTGCCAGGACAGGATGTGCCGCGCTGCTGGGGACATTTCAGTTGGGGTGGTACCCCCAACCCTGGTGACTGCACCTCCCTGACCCTCTGGTCTCCCCACAGGAGAAGCCCTACAAGTGCTCGGAGTGCAGCAAAGCCTTCAGCCAGAAGCGAGGCTTGGAGGAGCACAAGAGGACGCACACGGGAGAGAAGCCTTTCCAGTGTGACGTGAGTGGCTCCCCTTCCCCATCTCCTGCAAGGCAGGAGCCACGTACCCCACAGCCTGTTGGTATCACCCCTCTGCCTGCCGCGCAGCATGGCCTGTGGCTTTGGGTGGGGTGACCCCTGTGATCACACATGGCCCTTGTCTCGCCACGGTTCCCTGTGGCTTCCTAGCAGCAAGTAAACGCTGCTCTTCCTTTGGATCTTCCTTCCAGAGTGCCATTCAAGTGCCTGCCACCTCTTTGACCGCTTACTAACATTAAACCAAAGATCTGGTTGATCATGGGTATTATTTACTTTGTTAAATCCAAATGGTGAATTTCTAAAATACATATGAAGCCTCTGTGTTAAATAATGCTGTCTAGAGTTTCTGCTTCTGACCGAATTATGATGCATTGAAATGGAATCATTGACATAGCAGTTTACATGATTTTGAAAGGAAAAAAGACTACCGTTCTCAGTATCTGAGCATTGATTAAGTTGTGACAGAGAGGCTTCTTAGCCAGTGATGTCTTTGTCTCAAGAAGTTGACAATTGACAGATCTGGCACTGGTGTTAAGGAAAGCGAGAGGATGCTTACTTTTGACAAATGTCAAAAAGAGAATTAGTGTAGCTCAATTTTAGGAAGAAACCTCAGAGTTGTGACATGGGCTAACGCGGCATGGATTCCCTGTAAATTCCAAGAACTGGGGAGCCAGGGGGCACAGTCTGTAGTGAGCAGCCCTGAGAGGACGGGTATGGACGCAAGACACTGTGCTTGTCCTCAGGAAGCTTTGGTGCTAGGGTTGGGCCGGGGTCCTCTCTCCCCAGTCGGCAGAAGGCTGCCTAGGAGACGGAAGCGCATGCAGAGGGTTCTGTTTTGCGTTGGAGCTGCGGTCCTGGCCTAGGCATTTCCATAGCTCCACTCCTTGCTGCTTTTTTTGGGAGCATAAAAGGCAGCACCCGTTTGAGTGACATAATCGCACAGCAGCGCTGTCAGACATGGACCTGGAATTAGATCCTGATGGTGCGTGGACATCTTCCCTCCGTCACACACTGCCATCTTTTATCTGTCTATGTGGAATACCTTTGCCGAGCATCTAAAAGTGCAGTGTTGTTCTTCATGCTATCATTTCTTCTTGTCTCCTTCTGTCTGTTCACTCCTCTGAGTGCCGAGCTCTCCAGCCCTCACCTGCAGCCCGGCTGGTCTGTTGAGTGAAGGTCCACATTTCTGAGAACCTGCTCAGCTTCCCTGGGCTGTGCCTGCTCAGCAGAGCGTGGGCTGCTGATGCTCCCACAGCTGTCCTCCTAACTGCCACCTGGCGGCCCTGCTTCCCAAGGACACCAGTCCCTCTCTTCTAGGCAGCTCCCATGCTGCTGGCTGTGCATGGCACCCCGTCACGCTTCTGATCCCATGCTGGGTGTGCCCCCCCCAGCCTGCAGCCCTGCCAAGGGGTGTGTGGCTGCAGTTGTGGAGTTGAAGTCCCTCATGTGAGTTTCATAGGAAGAATTCCAGGGCTGTCAGTTCAGTGATAGCATTGAGAACCATCTCTGGTTCCAAGACATTGTCACAGCACCAGAACAGAGCTGTATGCACAGAGACCATTACTCCCCAGCCCCCGGCCAGCAGCCTCCAATCTGATTTCACCTTATGGGTTTTCCCATCCAGGACTGTTAACGTGAGTTCACACAGTGTGTGTGCACGCACTGGCTTCTCCCACTCAGCAGGTGTCCGAGTTCCCCTTGTGGCTGTGTCAGTGGGTTGTCCCTTCTCCTGGCTAGATGGTGTCCCACTGCATTTGTCCTCCTGCCATGGGCGGGCACATGGGCTGTGTCTGCCTCAGGGCTGTTGTGGATAGTGCATTTTCAGTTCTTGGGGACACACCCCTCTCCAGGGTGGAACTGGGAGTCGCAGGGTGGTTCTCTTGCTGTCTGGGGAGCCGCCATGCTTCTCCCACAGAGCTGAACTGTTCACATCCACATATGTGTGCGGGAGGCTCCCTGTTCCACTGCCTGCCCACACTTGCATTTCTGTGTTTTGTTCTTTGATTAGTTGCTTTTTTGTTTGTTTTCTTTTTAAGTTCTGGGTGTGGTCTTTATTTACACTCCTCAGGACTAGCGGTGCTGAGCTTCTGACATGTGCTGTTCCACACACATTTGTGTGTCCTCTCTGGAGAAACGTCTGTCTAGTCCTTGCCGTTGAAAAACTGAATTGCTTATTTTGGTTGTTGTCGACTTCTAAGAGTTTGTTTTAATACATTTTGGATTCTGGACCCTTATCAGATATATGAAATGCAATCATTTTCTCCCATTGTATAGGTTTTTTTTTTTACTTTCCTGATAATATTCTTGACAATAATATGTTTCCTTGATAATATCCTGACAATAATATATTGTCCAAGTTATACATTCTTCTTTATTTAATAATACTTTTGATGTATGAATCCATTCCCAAATCAAAAGTTATGAAGTTTTTCCACCCTTCTGTTCATTTTTTTTCCTCTAAGTTTTATCATGTTGAGTCTTAGATGTAGGTCTTTGGTCCATCTTGAGTTAATGTTTACATATGGCATAAGGCAGGGATCCGGATTTTTCACTCTTTCACCATTGAATATGGTCTTAGCTATAAGTTTCACAAATGCCTGTTGTTATGTGGGGGATGTTTCCATCTCTCTTAGTTTTCTGAATGGTTTTTTGTTTTCAAACAGAAGAAAAAGTGCTGGATTTTGTCAAATGCCCTTCCTGCATCTATCGAAATTGACGTGTTCATTTTTTCCTTTGCTTCATTAGTATAATGTATTTGTTTTTCTTTTTGAACCACTTCTGTAGCCCTGGGATGAATTCCACTTGGTTGTGGTTTAGGATCCTTTTAAGAGGCTGTTAGACATAGCTTGGGTTTTGTTTGAGAATTTTTGCCTCTAGATTCATAAAGGATCTTGTTCTGTTGTTCACTCTCTTTGTGATATCTTTGTCTGGCTTTGGCATCAGGGTCATGCTCCCTCGCAGAATGAGTTAGATAGTGTTCTCCTTCTCTGAGATTCTTCTCCTTTCCCTCCTCCCCCTCTTTCTGAAAGATTGATGTTCTTCTTTCAATGTCTGGTAGAAGTCAAGCACTTAAAGTCTGGGATTTCTCTTTGCTGGGATGTTTTAATTTGACTCAGTCTCTTTATTTGTTATAGGTCTGTTGAGACTTTTCATTTCATCTCATGTCAGTTTTGGTAATTTATATGTTTCAAGGAACTTGTGCGTTTTGCCTAGGTTACCCAACGTGTTGATGTGCAGTTATTTAAAATACCTTCTTACGATCATTTCTACTTCTCTAGGGTTGGCAGTCATGGCCTAACGTAAGCTCAGCCATGTGCTTCTCAATGATCGCTTCTGACAAACTGTAGGATAAAATCCTCATAGCGACTTGCCTGAAATATTGTTCTTGGTCATATTTTAATTTCTTCCGTCAGTACTGCTTCTAGGTATTTCTCAAACCAAAGGCCACCTCTGAATTCCGTTTGCCACCCTCAATCCGCTTTTTCTCTCACCCAACACCCAGTCCAGCATTATACTGACGGGCAGTGTTCTTGGGTGAGTTGGAGTCTGAGTGGTGTCACAGCTCCACAGCTGCACTGTAGCCGCCTGGAGCATGGCAGAGGCTGCCCCACAGACCGCTCTCCTGTCTGTCTCATAACGCTCATTCAAACTTGCCTGTGTCCTCAACCCCGAACAGTGTCTGCCGTGCAAGAAGCCTTCCGGGGACACTCCAGCTGCTAAGTAGCCATGTCTTAGTTCAGTGCAAGTCATCGGCCTCCCTGACTCCCACCTCATGCTCTCATTTGCAGACTAGATGATATTCCAGTTCAGTCTCCACTTGAATTCCTACCCTAACAGGATGTCCTTCCACGTTCTTCTTCGGTCTCCAACTCCTCCAGGGGTTGTTTCCAGCAAGTTGATTCTCTAACCCTCGGGTGTGATAGGCCATCTGTTAACATCCTCAGCCTCTCTGCCTTTCCTCTCTCCCCTCCCCGTCACAGCCCACCCACCCAGAACCTGACACTCAGGGCCTCCCTCCGGATCCAGTCTTGGCTGCCTCTTCCTCAGAGCTGGGCCTCCTCAGTCCAGGCCCTGATTCCTCTGGCCCCCGTGCCTCTCCTGACCCCATGGTCATGGCCCTGCTCCTTAGACTGCAGTCACGAGGTCAAGAAGTGTGTTCTCTGTCATTTTGTTCTCAACCGAAGCGGTGGGCACATTGTGTGGGATTGAGTATCTGTTAGCCGAAGATGTTCCAATCGGGTTCCAATTCCCATCTCTCCAGCTACTTTCTGTGAAAAATCGTGTTTACTTTACTTTAAAACAGTCTGGAGCATAACTGGAGGTTTGGAGGGTTTTCATTCTGTGGCATGTAAGTCAGTATAAGGTCAGAGTGGGTCAGGGTTGAATAAGAGTTACAGTGGAAAGGAGAAAAGGAAGTCACTGTTCTCCTTGTTCTCACTGCTCTCAGCATGTGTAAATGTCCTTGCATGTGGCTGATTTTTTCAGAGTGTCCTTGGGGGCCTAATACCACATTGAAGCTACTGAAGGCAAAGCTTCTAGTGTCCAGGTGGCTTCACAGTGTGGCCTCAGGTGCTCCCTACCTGGCTCTCGTTCTGCCCTCTGCTGGGCTGCACCCCTGTCTCCTATGTGGACTTGGAGGGAGCCTTAGTTCATGCCATGACTGGCAGCTGCAGCCACTGCTTGGCCTCCTTGCATTCCCTGCACCCATGGCCAAGATGTGAATGGACCTGCAGGGGCCTGCCTCCCACCATGCTGCTGCACCCAGCTCTCCCAGACCTTCTCTGTATTGTCAGAGTCATCTCTGTTTTTAAATGGTGGGTAGGGAGAGTGTGGTTCCGCATGTCTTGGTGAAGCAATAGTCGGCATCACATATGGCCCGGGGACAGGGAGAGGCAAGACCTAGCCCCAACATCCTGCATTCTTATCCTGGGAGTCACATCCTGGTTCTGGGGACCTGGGAGTCTGCTGCTTCTCCTGTGCCTCGTTTCCTCCTCTAGACAGGGATGACAGCATGAACATCTACAGAAAAGACAGATGCCCTGTAAGCCCCAAAAGTGCTACATCTGAGGAGTTGGCAGTTGGCTCCCAGCCACCGTGAGAGCAGTGGCGTGCATTGGGAAGGCAGAGTGGGCAGTGGTCTTGGCCCGCAGCACTCAGGCCCTTGTGGAGCACAACACTCAACAAGTAAATCTGAATATCTCACTACAATCTCAGAAAGACTGGAAAAGAGAAGGGAAAGAACTTGGGCTACAAAAGAGTGGTCAGGAAAGAACCCCCTGTGAAAGCAACTCAGTTCCTAGGAGACGAGGAGTCAGCTCCAGGAAGAGCATCTGGGCAGCGGGTGAGACAGAGGGAGGCTCAGGTGGGAGGGGCACTGGGAGAGGGGGTAGCCGGCCCAGGAGCAGGTGCAGGTGGAGCTGGAGGTGCCAGGCCCCTCAGGAGTGGAAGGAAAGCACTCTGCATCGGATTTCAAAAGAAAGCCTCTGAGAAGTTGTCATCACTTGTTCACTTTGACCCTGGGTTTGGAGAAGGGCCAGAGAAAGAGGACATGGCAGATAGCTTTCCTGTCTTCCTCATGATGGCGAGTTAAGATATACTTATGAACACGTTTATGTCACTTGGAAATACTTTTCACAGATACTTTCTTAATTTGTTCAAAATTATTTCATAGACTTTGGGTACTTTCCTGCCCATAACAAGTCTGTCTTCCAGGTGGTCACATGAAGCCCACCCTCAGCTGGCTGTGTTCTGCACTCCAAAATAATATTTACTTTTTTATTATAAAAGATTACTTTTTAATATCAGAAAAGTGGGAAAATATGGAAACAAATGAGAACAATAAGACAATCCCATTTCTAGCTGATGTCAGCTGGTTAATTTTGTCAATCTCTTGACATTTCTCTTCATGATTATTTGTACTGATGCAGTTATACTCTTTATTTCTGTCTTATATATAAAATCACATTGATCATAATATCCATTTCTTCCCTCTGCTTTCTCTTGCCTCTAAACCTTTTTGAAAGTATGATTCTTCTTTGGCAGCCGGAAGACAGTCCCTTCTGATTGTATCCAAGTGAGCACCCCCATTAACTGTGGCTCATGTTTGTCCTTTGTGCATGAGCCTGCATCAGCGCCCTGTGGATGACGCCTTAACTAGAGGTACCAGGTGGCATTCCTGGTTCTGGGAGGCCTCTGACCCTCCAGGACCTGGAGGACTCTGCTCAGCAGTGACCACTCCCCAGGGCCTCCTGTACATCCTGTCCTCCCTTTGGACACGTGTTTGTTTGTGTGGGGTGTGACTCTGGGAAGCATGGGTCTCCAGTGCAGGAATTATTGGAGGCTGCCCTTTCTGCTAATCTCAGTCCTTCCACAGGGTCTGACTCCTTCCCTGCCACCACAGTTCCTGTGTCTTGTAGTCTCCGTGCTCGATGCTCGATGTTTCAGGTCCCTCCTCCTTCCCCTGCCTCCACTGCGACACCTTGCTGTGTTCTCCAGTGACTGTGAAGGTGCATAGTCTGTGTCTGACTGTGATCCCAGAACTCATGCTGGTCAGCTGTTGCAGGAGGAAGGCGTCCTCTCCTGAGCCTGGTCTGGGAGTCACCTGTCGCAAAGCCACGTGCCTACTCCTAGGTGTTTCTCCTCTTTCAACAGCTACATCTTTCTTCAAATCCCACCTGCAGTGGCTTTTGGCTCCCTCCTGGTGGCACAGGCTATTCTGTCCAAGCTACTGATGGTGCTCCTTGCTAGAGAAGAAGGAAGAAAAAAAGGCACTGACATTTATTTAGTGTTCACAACATAACACCAATCTGCATCGCTTATTTTATTTAATTTTAAAATCCTGTGAGGTAACCACCATGTCGTCCTTTTGCAGGGGAAGGAGGCAGAGTTAAAAGGGATAGTCTGTCTGTGCTGACCTCCTTAGTAAGTGATGAGCAAGAACACCCCAGTGGTCATTCCACGAGTACGTATGAATGCCATCACTGTGGCCCTTGCCTTACACTCTGGATACCTGCCCTCATGCCACCGAGACTAGAGGGTGAGATGCTCAAGGAACAGTGGGCAGTGCTGTGTAGAAGTCACGTGAGCAGACCCAAGGGTCCAGAACAGATGGCAGGTTCTGCTTCAAGCTGGGTGCTCAGGGCAGGCTTCCCTGGAGGGCCAGGGACCTGAAGCTCCTGCACCTCCCAGCCCACCTCTGCATGGCATCTGGTGGCTGCCCTCCCACCTGCCCAGTGTACACTCACTGTTCCAGTGCCTTCTAGCCTTGCTGTCCACACCAGCTCTCCTAGAGTGCCACACAGCTCTTCTCTGGCACTGCATTTCTTTGTTTTCGCGTGTGTAAGCATGCTTCAGTGTAGAACAGATGGACTGCGAGGACACTTGTGTGAGTGGGGTTTTTGTGAATGATTCCACACTGGGGATTCCATTTCGTTTCCTTTTATAACTTCGGTGACAGTGTTCCACGTGTTCTGTGCTAATGTAGTTCATCCTTAGGCTGCTCAGTGCACACTGAGCCGGGTGGCACCATGCAGGGCTCATGTGGAGCACACTGTGGCATTCCCCAAACAAAGCCTGCGTCACAAGAAAGAGGAAGTGGAGGAGGGGCTGAGCACCCTCACCACACTCCCCGTGAAGTTCACCACTGGCCTCACAAGAGGGGCCTCCCAGAAGGGCACCCAGAGAGGGTGTCTGGTGCCGATTGGGAGGCAAGGCTGGGCCATTCAGAGAAATGCCACCTAGACCATAGGGTCTTGTGCTCTGGAGGCTTCCTGGGCTTCCACCATGTAAGGAAGCTCTCCTCACCAGGGACTTGCTCTCTGCAGTGTTTAAATCCAGCTGCTGGTGCGATGGGGTGGTCATGGCACAGAGGACGCTACCACACCCGCTCTGCAGTGGCTGCTAATTCAGAAACCAGTAAGGGGCAATGGGGGACTGAGAAGAGACAAACACATAAGAGAGAAAGCTGGGAGCAAGTGGGACAGTGTCCTCTGAAGGACGCAGCACTGGCAAGACGTTAGGATCATCTTGTTAAGCTCAGAATTATCTATCCCTGGGAGCTGTGCCTGAGCTCAAGGTCCAGGCTGATATAGCTCTGTACCTGTTTACAGACCTCCTCAGGCTGGGTGTCACCATAGCAACTGGGCAATCTTGACCTACACCTTGGCACAGGAAGTTCCCAGCACAAACGCAGCCACGAGGCAGTCAGAGACCATGATTCAAGTCACCACTCTCCACTGGACATGAGTAAATGCAATATCCCTGGGGACAGTAATGAATTTCTTAGCCCATTAGTTAGGTGTTAAATTCCTGTGAGTGCATACTGGATAGCAGGGATTTGCATAAAGTCTATTGTGAGAATGACAGTTGAGGCTTCTCAGTAAGGTGTGACTGGTGTCTCTGGGTCTCTTCTAGGTCTGTGACTTGGCTTTCAGCCTGAAGAAGATGCTGATTCGACACAAGATGACCCACAATCCCCACCGTCCTCTGGCAGAGTGCCAGTTCTGCCACAAGAAGTTCACGAGGAACGACTACCTCAAGGTGCACAGGGACCACGTCCACGGAGTGGCCGACAGCTAGATGGCTGTGCAGGGGGCCTTTTTATAAGGTGCCTGGAGAGCCCAGTCTTGCCTCTCACGTAGCATGACAGAGGTGGCCAGAAGTAGCTGTGCTCTCAGAGCTCTTATTCTCTGACCTTTGGAGTTTGTAGATGCATATGTAAAATACATCAAAAGTATTGTATTTTCCACAAATGGTACAAATGGAGGGGAAGAAACCTCTGTAGCCTGCAGAATACTGCTGTGCTGTGTCTCGTAAAGTTGCAAAGATGGGTCAGGGTGTTCTGACTCTTTCTGTAAGGAAGATTGTTAGCACTTCCAGCTGCTGGGCCTCTTTACTTTGTTGTTTGTGTGTGTTTATCTTTGTGCACACTGGCAGTACTGGCTAGAGCACTGTTCTTACTAATTTAGACAGAAATCAAGGTCCCCTGCTCTTTCTTTGAAGAAAGAAAGACTAAGCATTTTCCAAGTCTCCAAGATGATGGCAGATGGATGCTTGCTCTTTTAAGAAACAGACCAAGAGTTTGTTATTTAACAGCTTCACACAGCAAATGAGTTTAAAATAAAGAGCTATTCGATAATGAAAGCCTCTATTAAATCGTTGCTCATTTTAGAGAATTCTCAGGCAACATTTCCACTCATCATTTAGATACAGAAATTTATGGTCTGAATAATTTTATAATAAGATCTTTGCAAAAGTAGCCATGAACTTTTAAATATTCCTCAAGCTGCCCCTCCTGAGTCTGCACTGCTTGTCTTTAGAAATCAGTGATATGCAGATGTGCATAACTGAAACAGACATGGCCTGGCCCCTGCACAGTGGGTGGCCTGCAGCTGGTGGTGCCAGCAGCCCTCTGCCTGTTGTCCCGAGGCACAGCACAGGCATGTGCAGGCCCAGCCAGCCTCAGAGCATGAGTTCATCTTGCAAAAGACGTTTTCCAGAATCCTGGCAGAAGGTGACTCCGAAACACTCTTGAGTCACCTTCTATCAACTTATATAATTAGGGATCCAGAATAAAAAGTGCTGACCTCGCAGTTGCTAGGACTGAGTGGGACTGGTGCATGGGGGAAATCCAGCAGGGCACAGTGGCTCCTGCCAGGCTCCGTCCAGGGAGCATGGACAGCAGCATATCCAACAGCTTACCTGGGAGAGCACGGTGCAGCCTTACAATGGTGTCAGAAAAGCCTGAGCCACCCAGGACCAGAGGAAACTGGGGAAAGGCCCAAATCATGAGCCTCTGTTTGGGACCACTGCAAAGAGAGAAAGTGCAGTTCATCTTAAGGAAGTTACAAGGTCCTGATGGGTTCAGGCTGTCTGCTGGACACAGGGCTGGACTTTGGAAAAGAATTATATTCATGCCCAGTTACAATTTTAAAATGAAACATAAAAATTCAATATAGACATTTAAAACCTGTAAAATACTAAATTTTAAATTTATCAGAGATAGCTTTAAAAAATATAAACCTTAGAATATAATTTAGAATACGTCTAAGTATGGTTACTTGGAGTATTTTGTATCCGAAATTACAGACTGTATTTTGTAAAAATAAACTTGGCTTGTTTCTCTCTCTGTCCTCTGTTTCCATGGTGTGTCTTCAGCTCTGTAGCATGTTCAGTGATGATGGTGGGCGCTCTGTCATCTACCTGTGAACCCGGTCGTGTGCATTGTGAAACATGCCCCACAGGATCCTCTGGGCATGGCCTTCTCTATAATCACTCTCCCTGATTATGTGGCGAGTGTGAGAGTGGAAAGGAGGCCACACGATAATCTGTGTAATCTCAGTGAGTGTCACAGTCTGCAGGACTGCGGGGGAGCTGCCTGAAGTAGGGGCGCTGCCTGCTGTTCCAGAGCAGGCCAAGAGGAACCCCTCTGCTGCCCCCTAGAGAGCACGCAGGTCTTTGGGGCAAAGTGGGGGCTGCTGATCACTGTCCACTCTTCAGAGAACTGAGACCCGCACGTCTTTACAAGACTCTCTGTATGCTGTGACCCTCTGTCCAGAAGACAATTGTTGTTGATTAGGTCAAATCTATTACCCTTTGTGTTCTTTTAAACCGCTCTCCAGTAACATAAAGAGAGCTTTTTAGACTTCATTGGTGAGTTTAAAACATAAGTAGTTGGGAACAAACATGCAGACTGCAGGCACCCGTTTTGAAGGTTCTCCTCTCCTTTCCTGCTCTGAGAAGCTTTGGCTCAGAAGAGCCTTGGGAGAAAGCCAGATTCTCAGGTGCCGGTGACATGGTGGTCACGTGGTTCTGAGAGGTCTTCACCTATGTGGCAGAGCCCTACCCTTTGCTGTCTGTGCCATTTGGGATGTTTGTACACCTTGGATTTCTTATTTTACAGTCGCAGGCGTAAATTTTCCTTTCTTTCTCCTGTTGGTTGTTGCTGGCTGTGGTTAATGGTGCCCAGTGGTCACGGATGATTCGCTCCTGGGGTTGTGAGGATGCTTAAAACACTTTTAAGAAACGTGTACCTCACAGCTGTGTGTGTGTGTCTGGAGGGCCGCCCTGGTGCGTGCTCCTCTGGGCCGTGCATACTTTGCTCAACTCTCTTCTTTCCTGTGCAGCCGACTCCTTGGCTGGGCGTGAACATGGACCCCAGAGGGCCTCCAGCCCTGGCTGTGCTGTGTGTTGGCAGCCATGGGCTGTGCTCTCTCGGAGCTACATGGGAGGCGTAGGTACTGGAAAGACCTCCAACACTTTTCACCAGCCTGAGTGTTCCTTGAGGAAACCACCCTGGCTGGGGAGCATGTGGGATGGGCAGTGGGGAAACGTGCCTCCGTGGGTATAACGGGAGCATTTCAAATACAGCAGAGCCCCAGAGGCATTTCCATTTTACCGTAAATTCATCATGGAAGACACAAATTACCAGCAAATCTGGTGTTGGCATTTACCAGAGCACCGTAACTCGCACAGTTCTGTAGGAAGTGCCAGGTGGACATTCCCAAAGCTGCCTTGAAAGAAGGAGGTGTGCTTGCCATCGCCCCAGCTCCTGCTCCCAAGTTCCCACGCCTTGGCATTTCTGGGTCTGCAGAGGTCCCTGATGTTGAGCCAAGCTGGTCCAAGGTACCTTTGCCTTGTTCCTGGACTTACCAGAACAACGCATGAAAAGCAGCATCACTGAGAACCAGAAACCCAGTGTAGAGCAGCATCTCAGCAAAATCACCCGACGCTCAGGAGAGCAGGTCATGGTGGTGGAAGCTGCGGCCACCGTCTTAGGTGCCACTTTTCTGAAAACGGCACGTCAACATTTCAGTGTTCTCAGTCTCGTGAAGTTTCCCTTATGCAAAAAACAAACAAACAAAAATAAAGTAAAAACCCTGAAATGCTGTTCATCTCTAAGTGGTGGGGTTGGAACAGATGAGTGCACGTAACCTCGCCCTCTCAGAGCAGCTGAGGCAGGGGTTGTTTGGGGCCGACGCGCAGCTCCGGCTAGCTGGGGCTTGAGACAGGCGTCTCCCAGGTGGTTCATTTGCTCCACGACAGAATAAAAGGTCCTGTGCTCTAGCAACTCTGGAGCCTGCAGCCTGTCCACGTGCAGGTTCTGTAGATTCCCTAGGCCATGGGCACTGCTGATGAGTGCCCACGTTCCTCGTCCTCCTTCAAAGCAGTGCATGGCACATGCTGAAGCAAATGTTCATGTTTGCTTGCAAAACAGATAGTATTTACTTACCTAGAGTAAAACAATTTAACTACCTAAATATTCAGTAGCATATTTTGCTTCTTAATTATGCAAACATTCAGGCAAATCCATTTTTATTTGTGTACCCAAGCATATAGCATGGCAGCAAGAAATGACTCCAACATTGTAAATATGTCAGTAACTCAAGTGCTTCACAGGAAAGAATGCAGGACTCCTGAAGCCTGATGGCCCTAGTCAATGCACGAGTTCACATGGATGTTGCTGACCTTGATAAGAAAATCTGCAGACTTCCTGGAATTAATTGGCATAGAAAGTTCAGAAGACAACCATTTGTCTCTCAAAATAATGTAAAAATTAAAAGAATCCCAGTGCACAATGAATTCTTGAATTACGTCCTTCTTTCACTTATGTATTTGATATTCTAATGAGACCATGTAATGAGTTTTTTCTTAAAGTTAATTTGCCTGGTGTCTTTTACTTAAGATTTGGGTGATGTACTTTTTTATCTTCATCTCCTGTGACAATATGAAAACTTCAGGTGTGTTTTTAGGAAACAACTCATGGGTCCTCATTTTGTGTCTTGTGTGGCGGTGCTGAGCTGGGTGCGCTTTGCTCTGATGGTGACCCTCCCTCCCTTCTTGCAGCCTGGTTTGGAGGGCAGTCTGTGCTCTAAGGGAAATGTGTCGCTTCACACCTTGCCCTCGAGCTCCATCAGCTCTGATGTGGGTCTCACAGGCCTGGCGTACAAACAAGCTGTGGGTCGTCTTGGCCGGCAGGGAGCCGTGGGTGCTGCTGGCAAGGCCTCTCATGGGATCTCCTGGGCTTGGTGTGGTGGGACAAGTGTCGCTGCTGTGAGCAGGATGACGAGACGGGGATTAGTGTTGGGGTGATACTCCCCTGTGTGTTCCTTAATATTTGGTAAAGCCACCTATGGAAGAGGAAGGACATTGACTCAAACCCAATTTTCTTCTCTTTTCTGGAGTAAATATGAGCATCTAGATGGCTGAAATCCAACTTTGTGAAATGGAAGGAAACCATATGCTTCCCGTGCTATGTGGGAATGTGAAGAGAGTGAGCTGGAGAGCTGGCCAGTTAACTGATGGAGCACTTTTATGTAATTGGAAAACTAATGAGTCTTCTTGGTGCAATATTACATGTAGTGATTAAGAATTCCAAAAAGTATGGAAATTAACCAGTCTTTACTTTTGGTTTAAATATAGTCTTACTGAAGAATGAAAAGTCCTCCCTAGACCACACTTTCTGATCAGAAGGGTCTCCATATCAGTGCCACCATGGATCCTCTTCATCTGACAGATACGGTGCACAGCTTCCTAGAAGACACCATAGAGCCATGCCAAGTGAGCCCTCAGTGTCCCTG